ATAATAACTAATCATCCTTAAATTTTAAAAATTTGTAATTACATCAAGTGATATCAAGGACAACAGTGATATCAAAATTTTTTGTAACTAATTATATCAAGTGATTATATCAAGTGATATCAAGGGCAACAGTGATATCAAATTTTTTTGTAACTAATTATATCAAGTGATTATATCAAGTGATATCAAGGGCAACAGTGATATCAAATTTTTTTGTAACTAATTATATCAAGTGATTATATCAAGTGATATCAAGGGCAACAGTGATATCAAATTTTTTTGTAACTAATTATATCAAGTGATTATATCAAGTGATATCAAGGGCAACAGTGATATCAAATTTTTTTGTAACTAATTATATCAAGTGATTATATCAAGTGATATCAAGGGCAACAGTGATATCAAATTTTTTTGTAACTAATTATATCAAGTGATTATATCAAGTGATATCAAGGGCAACAGTGATATCAAATTTTTTTGTAACTAATTATATCAAGTGATTATATCAAGTGATATCAAGGGCAACAGTGATATCAAATTTTTTTGTAACTAATTATATCAAGTGATTATATCAAGTGATATCAAGGGCAACAGTGATATCAAATTTTTTTGTAACTAATTATATCAAGTGATTATATCAAGTGATATCAAGGGCAACAGTGATATCAAATTTTTTTGTAACTAATTATATCAAGTGATTATATCAAGTGATATCAAGGGCAACAGTGATATCAAATTTTTTTGTAACTAATTATATCAAGTGATTATATCAAGTGATATCAAGGACAAAAGTGATATCAAAATTTGTAACTAATCAAGTGATTATATCAAGTGATATCAAAATTTGTAACTAATCAAGTGATTATATCAAGTGATATCAAAATTTGTAACTAATCAAGTGATTATATCAAGTGATATCAAAATTTGTAACTAATCAAGTGATTATATCAAGTGATATCAAAATTTGTAACTAATCAAGTGATTATATCAAGTGATATCAAAATTTGTAACTAATCAAGTGATTATATCAAGTGATATCTTTCTTGTTATTTCATCTTTCTTCTTTATTTCTTCAAATACCAAAACAAAAAATATTTTTAGTATTACTTCTTTAAATAAGCATGCACACAAATGAGCACGTACTTCCGATCATCATCTTTGGACTCTAGTTCTTTAATCCGCATGCTCTTACAAAAATTTTATACTGGCTCTCTCTTACAAAAATTTAGTGGTTTTCCACATTTAGTTGTTATGATTTAGGCGGAAATTTTTTTTTCTTGGAGCAACAACTACTGTTCAATAATAATTTAAGGATGAATAATAATTTAAGGATGATTGCCTCAAGTTTGGTTTATGAGACTGGAGATACTTTTTTCATGATTATTTTGGTTAAATCACATTATCAATAATATGTATGGTGTTGCTGAAGGTGATGTATTATTTCCCATTTTTGATATAACAGGAGGTACAAAAACTACACCTACCAGATTAGAGGCAGAAATTGTGTGCTTTTACAAATGACTACACCATGATTTATAGTAGCAGAAGCAAAACAATTCCAAGCCAATATGAAAGACTCATATAATTTTGATGCCCATATAATTTTGCTAAAATCAGATTTGATAACAAAAACTTAAAGCAAGATTTTTTGATGCAAAACAAATTTGATCGATGCAGTGCTATATCATATGTAAAGTAGCTTAGACCTATAATTTTCTCCTATATTTTTCTCTAATATTACTGTTTCATATGCCTGGATAAATAAGACTATGCACAAGAAGGTACAGTTTCAGCTTGCCAAGCTTCTATGCTGCAGAACTTACATTATTAGATGTACAGAGTTGACCTGGCAATGAAGGCAAATCCTTGTGAACGGGGGCACCCTTTATCATCTTCACTTCACAGTTTCCACCCGATCCGGGTGGGGCTTGGATTTTCCCATCAATTGACAATTCTGGGAAGCCCCAATCTTTAGTTGGGTTGGAGGAATCATAAGTTGACAAGGAGGCCAAGTATTTTGCACTAGGACTCCTCAACTTATACACCTGCCCTGAAAAAAGCAAATTTAAGTCATATCAATTATAGTCATTAACACCGAATTAGGGGAGAGAAGTGAAACAGTGCAAATTAAGAAAAATCAAAATGACTTAAAATTTAAAAATAGAAGTGACAGTAGAACATGTTAGGGGGAAAAAAATTATTATATGAAAAGCACTCAAAAATGCAACCAGATTCTTGTCTAAAAAGTTTCAAAGAGATTAGCAGGGATCCAAAATTTCCCCAAAAGAATCTATTTGGTGCAACACCAAGATGGATGATTAAATTTTTTACCATTTTGCTTCACAATGTAATTCCAGCAGATAATCCTATGTAGTTCAGGAGTATTATCTTTTAGAATCAGAAGATCTAAATTCTATAACCTTGATTTTTGGCACACCATGTGATAGCAACAAAATGATGGGTCTTCACCAAAAATGATGCTTGATTTAAGGAACTCAATTCAGTTGACATTTACTGGATAATTCTTTAATCCTTTATAGTTCCATTTGGTTGTAACAAGGGAAAGAAATAATTGATATACTACACACCAATAATCACAAAGAAACAGTTGTCAGCATATTTTGCCCACAACAAAATGGACCATTTAGAAAAAATAGAAAAAATCACCTTGAATTAAGTGCATAACCATCAACTTTGTTGTCAAATGAAATAGAGGCAAATAGCAAACCTGACGTAACTCGTACCAGGTCAAGATGCACTTCACATATTGGAGCAGTTTTCAGCAAACCACCACCCGAAGGCATTGAGGGGTGAAGCCTAGCAGATTGTCTCACCAATCGGCCTACCAGCCTGGTAACCTGATTTTTTCCATCCTTTCTTGTTCTTGTGACAATTGACCAATCCCATAAATCTATCACTTTGAAATCTGGGACTGACTCTTCACCAGAACGAATGACTTGACCATACTGAGCACGCCAGTTTTCTTCATCCCAAGAAGCACCTGTGAGGTGGGGAGAAGCTAAGACACATCAACTCAAACACTGTGCAACTACTATGTTAACTACATTCAACAGATGCTAACTATACACTCGAGAAAAGAAGGAAAAAAAAACAGACACAAGGATGGCAACAAGAAAAAAATGAAACAAAAACAAGATTGTAAACCATGATAGGAAATACAAGTTGCAAATTTCAGTTGCCATTGTGACATTTTGTCGAACACCTTGCAGACACAAAAAGTATATAGCATGATTCATCTTTGCTATACACAGAGAAACTATACAGATGAGAGAAAAAACAATCCAAAATCAGCAAATAAAGATCAAACCATTTCAGAACTGAATTCAAAACTAATTCACTCATCAGATCAGAGAAGAACTAGATTTCAGAAAAATAGAGAGAGAAATGGAAGTTTTCTTACCTGTGATAATGGTGGCCCGGAGATCCTTGGTCGATCTAGAGATAATTTCAGAGAGATCAAAGAGGAAGGGCTGAGTTGATCAAAGTGGAATCGCATACGTAGTGACGGTGGTGCTCGTGTGCGATGGCAGTGATGCTCTCGTACCCGACGACGATGGAGACAAAGGCGAGAGAGAGAGCTAGAGGAGGGCAGAGGCGTGAGAGAGTGAGAAAGAGAGAGAGAAAATAAAGAAGTAATAAAGTTTCCCTCCGAAGTTTCCCTCCGAAGTTTCCCTCAGATATGAAGCACAATTTTTAAATTTTGTAATTATAATCGCCGACTAATATTTACTCGGTAAAAGTAAAATAACAACTTCAAAAAAAATTAAAATAAAAGTAACAAATATATTAAAATTATATTTAAATAAAAATATAAGTAATAAAATTATAAATTAAAAAAAAAAGGCAAAAATTAAATTATCTTAAATATTTGTCCTAATATTTTATGTACTGAAAAATATAATAATATATTTTAAAATTTTATATTCTTATATTTTATATTCTTATATTTTATATTCTTATATTTTATATTCTTATATTTTATATTCTTATATTATTTAAAAAAGTTGAAAAAATTAATTATTAAAAAATTAAGAAAAATTTTAAAATCTGAAATAATATCAATAAGTCTTACAAATATGTATTATTTACTCATAAGTCATGATGAGTGAATTTTTTTTACACACTTAGCCCTCGTTTTGATAATGATATTGAAAAATTGAAAATTTTATTTAAATGATAAATTATTACATTTTAAAAATATTCATTACATTTTAATAATATTTCATTTTAATAATATTAATTTTTCATTACAACCCTACAGAAATTACCATTACCTAAAGGAACACTTTACTATTATTAAACAATCGGCTACCAAACTATTTAGTAGCCAAAAGTAGGTCTTTGGCAACTAAAAAGTAATTTAGTCGGTGAATCCCTGCTTTTGGCGACCAAAATTTTGGTCACCAAAGGTATTTTATAATTTTTTTATTAAACAATTGGCTACCAAACTATTTAGTAGCCAAAAGTAGGTCTTTGGCGACTAAAAAGTAATTTAGTCGGTGAATCCCTGTTTTTGGCGACCAAAATGTTGGTCGCCAAAGGTATTTTATAATTTTTTTATTTTCATTCGGCTACCAAACTATTTAGTAGCCAAAAGTAAGTCTTTGGTGACTAAAAATTCTTTTAGTCGCCAATTGTGATATGTTTAGCTACTAAAAATTGTTTTAGTCGCCAATTGTATTTTTTTTAGCTAATAAATTTTTTTTTAGTCGCCAATAATCAACATTCCCCTACTAAAAAAAATTAGTAGCTAAAAAGGTTGACTTTTGCCGACTAAAATTAATTTTGGTAGCCAATTCCCACACTTTTGGCGACTAAATTTGTTTTGGTAGCCAAAAATGGTCGGCAAAAATATGTTTTCTTGTAGTGATAAAATAAAATATTTATCAATATTGAATTAAGTAATTATTTAATTTTTATATGAGACGAAATAAACTAAAATAAAATAAAAAACTAACGTAATAAATGAAGATGAAATCTTACTAGATCAACTTGAGACATACCACTTGGATGTAGATTTTCGACTTGTGCTAAACATCCACGAAATTTGTTAGAACATTTCATGATTGTACCCTATCGAGATTGGATAGAAACTTGTGTTCTTAACTGATCATTCTGAAGGGAACAATAATTTTCATAAATTCTCCCCCAAAAGTGAGTATAAGATTGTGAATTGCCAACAATTGAATCTTCAGAAATGTGACACCAAGCTTTACAAAGTGCCATATCTTTAGCAATGGTGAATGATTTTCCTCTCTTTATTTTTGATGAACCTTCCATACCGATTGTGTAAAAAAAATATAAATAAAAATGTAATTTAGAAAATTTGTCATGAAATGAAATTGAGTAAAAAGAGAGCAAAGAAGGTTTGTATTTATAAAAAAAAAGAGCCGTATTTTTATAGATGTTTTAACATAAAAAAGAGCCGTTGTAGATATGTTTCAGTTATGTTTTTATTTAATTTTTATTTTTTTTTAATGAATAAAGTAGCACACTTGGATCTCAGCCGTTGAATTGTTATTAATCAACGACTGAGATCAATCATGTGGAAAAATCTGATCTTCGAAGTTCAATAAAGTTAGGAAAGTTTCCAGATCTACTCTTAACAATTTGAGAGCTTTGAAACTTCAGAGAGAGAGAGAGAGAGAGCTTCGGATGAGTGAAGATCAGAGGGAAGGTCAGAGGGAAGATCAGAGCTTCGGATAAGTGAAGATCAGAGGAAACTTCAGAGAGAGAGAGCTTCGGATAAACTTCGGATCAGTGAAGATCAGAGAGAGAGAGTTTCGGATCTCTGCTTCAGATCAGCCTTGTTTCTTGGATCAGTGAAGATCAGAGGGAGAGAGCTTCGGATGAACTTCGAATCAGCTTTAGATCAGTGAAGATGAACTTCCAACCCTTTTCAACCCTCGAATCAGTGAAGATGAACTTCGGATCAGTGAAGATGACCTTTAGCTTTAGATCAGTGAAGATGAACTTCAGCTTTAGATCAGTGAAGATGAACTTCAGATCAGCTTTAGATCAGTGAACTTCGGATCAGCTTCGGATGAACTTCCAACCCTTTTCAACCCTCATCTTCAACCCTCTTCAGATCGAAGCCGTAGCCCCCATCAAATCTAGGTATTTTTCTTTAGATTATTTGAGATTATAATGGATTATTTGAGAAATTAATTTGAGATTATTTATGTTGGTATTCCTGAAATTTTTTAAATTTGTTATTGAATATTGATGAATTTTGGTATGAATTTGATAAAAAAAATTTAAATCTGTTTTTGGTATGAATTTGATGAATTTGCTGAATATTGATGAACATTGATGAATTCTTGTTCATTCTTGTTTAATATTGATGAATTTGATGAATATTGATGAATAAAACTTCATGCATTCTGGAAAATCCCAACTGAAAGGGAAGGAGGGAAGTGAGAAAACAGTTTAATTTTGGGTGACTTGGCAGATTTGGCAGCTACCAAAGTAGCTGCCAAATTTGGCACTTGATTTGGCAGTTGCCAAATTTGACAGCTGTTATAGCATGCCATTAGAGAAACCAAGATTGCCTAAGCTGCTATAGTATGGCTTTGGCAGCTGATTTAGCCATCCATTGGATATGCTCTAATACAAGGAGTGGCATGGTTAAAGTCAACTAAAGTAGCCTATAGTATTGAAGGCTTGTGAATTAGGCTATTCCATTTTTTTTTTGTTTGTGAACTTGTCATTTGTTATCTCTTAAGCGTTGTGTTTCTTGGTTTTAAGACACATATCTAGTGTTGTCTGCTACCTTGGAATAATTTGTATGATCAATTTAGCAGTCTGTTTTGGTACAATCCAATCCAATCTTGAATTTTTCAGCTTAAGCCTTGTTTGGCAAGTGGTGATTTTAATCAAAATATCAAAAAGTCACTAAAAAAATCAAAAAAACCAATAACTTATACCAAAAAATTAAAGATTTTCTTTTCTCTCTACTTTTTATACATCTTTTCGTAAAAAATTAAAAAGTCATATCAAAAATACTAATTTTTTTTTAAATCATATTTTAGCCAAAAAACTAAAAAAATATATTTCCAAACGAGGTCATATTGGTAACCCCATGTGTATTAACTGCACCTGTATATTTATATGTCAAACTTCACAATAAGTTTAATTAAGTTGAATTACACAACATTAAACCACTTAAAAATATAAAGAAATAAATGCTAGAGCCATATGAGGTAAGAAATGGTATGTGATTCTTTGACTTCAAATTTCATGTCCAGATGGACTCTCAGCCGCATAATCAGTGGCAGAGTCAGGAATTTAATATAGAGGCACCTATTAATTATAATTTTAAAATTTTTCTTCCCCAATTAATAATAATAGCATAATAATAATTTTTTGAGCTAATATTAAACATTAAAAATTAATATTCATTACAAAAAGTTTTTAATTTTAAACTTTTACAATTGATCCCAACAAATTTTCATCTTTTGAAATCTTTCCATGATAGTATCTTGTCAATGCCATCAAAAATCTATCCCTCAATGTAGACAACCAAGCTATTATTCATCCATTCATCACCCATTTGGTTCCGCAACCGATTCTTCATAATATTCATAGTTGAAAATACCCTCTCAATAGTAGCAGTTGTAACAGGCAAGATTAATGCTAAAGTCAAGAGTAAATACACCTATGGATATATTTTGTCTCTTCCAGTCTCCACCATTTTCTTAGCAAGATCAACAATTCCATTCAACCTTGATAACTCACTACTAGATAGAATGTTGATAATATATGTATCAAGTTGATCATTAAGTACCATGACCTCCACCGAAGAAAATTCCTTAGAATAAAATTTGGCAAGATGAATTAACTTTTTCTTGTCAAAACTAGAGAAATAATTAGATGAATTCAAACATGCCACACAAAGTAACAACTCAGTGTTTGACTTAGTGAAATGAGCATTTAGTTCTTGAATTTGCATATCCAAAACCGTGTAGAATAACTCAGCGCGATAGTGATGTAAGTTTGTAATTTCTTGAACATTACGTCTTTTTCTCCCTCGAGCTACAATCATATCATCCATTTAAGGAACATCAATTTCATACTTTTCACAAAAAGACAAAATATCATCAAATAAAGATTTCCACCCACTCTCCCTCATCTTTTGGAGCTGTACT